ATATATACGTAAATTAAAACGTCCTTCCGAAGCGGGCGATGAAATTTCAATTCCGGTTGCCGACAGCTTCTTACGGGCGACCCCCCCAAAATAACCTTTCTTTGTTTTTTGTGCCGACAATACGTCATTACAACTCATTATTACGACCTATGTGGCTCACAGGTCATGCAGTTTCCAACTACGTCTTTTGCGACCTATTAACATTATTATAGTTCACCACTACGATTTACGTGACCAACTACGACACACATGATTCATAGGCTCATGCAGCTCTCAAATATGACCTCTATAGCTTGCGAACATTTTTATAACTCACCACCTCCACCTACGTGACTAAGGCACACGTGGATCACAACTTCTGAAGCAACCGTCTACAATCTATATAATCAACTACTACCAAGCTTTCAACTACAACCTCTTTGACAAAGTCAGTGCTACAATCACCACCTACACCATTTATTGCGGGCTACTGCCTTTATAGAAATTGTAGCCCTTACAACTTGCTATTGCCGAGAAATACATTTATTACTGTCAGATTACGATTATTATCGATGAACTATCATTGCACATCAACTTTATAACTCAATATTTTTTAATTCAGGATAAGAGCAATCATATGTACTTATAATTATATAGTGAATCATTTCAATTGGGTTAAACATTGTAGTTCTTTTCCCTTTTCATGGTTTTTCATGTAAAAAGTCTTGGTCTCCTCCCGCTTCTCATTTTTTTGTGTGTTGATTCTTTGTCCAATACTAAGACGCTAAATTATTACTCTATTATTGTGAATCTTCTGGAACGCAATAATACTACCCATCTTGGTCACGCTTCGGTAGTTGCTCTTGAGTTCAACTTTCACGAGGTAGGGCTGGAAGGAAGAATGAATGATTTGGATATTATATTCATGTATGAGCAATGTGTTGATTGCTAGATTGAAATAGTTTTCTTGTGTGGTTGGAATTATTCTGTCTCAAAATACAAATCTGAAGGTTTTGGATATAGCATATTTTTTTTTTTTAATAATTTTGAAATAGTGAAGTTTGAGTAAAATATTTCAAAAGTGGAACATGTTAGTTTGGCATTCAACTCTAAAACAATCTTTAGTTATTTCCTCTTTTGAAAGCTATCTTTTACCAGTATAGCCACGCTATACTGTAGGTAAATAAGTTGCATGTTTCTTCATTGTAATGCTCAGTATTAATTTACCAACTTCTGTTTTATAGGGACAATCAAATAATGGTTCCACTGTTTATGGATTTGCTTTTCTGGATTATGCTGCTTTAAAATTTTGGGTTGGCTCTTTTATTGATGATGGTTCCTATGCGGCACTGGGGGCTTTGTTAGTGCAAGTAAGTTTATACTTATTTCTTATTTTTTAGTTTTTTGGACGTTTGTGCCAAAACTGTATAATTTTCTCAGGTTTCACCCAGGGAAGTTCTCTATGAAAAATCTGGTAAAAATGTGCACAATCCTTTATTCTCTGATTATTTCTATTGTATTTGCCTGCGAATTTTTTAACATTCATCAGTTTCAATGTTGCAGGACTCTCTAAAGAAACTCATAAGGCACTTATGAAATATGCTTCAAAAGGTGGCTATTTATGTGCAAAATGTGAATTTTCTGTTGCTGATTATATTTGCTGTATTTGACTATATTGAGAGCCAGTTTATCATTTGAACCAAACATATGCTAACGGCAAATTGATTAGGTCGGACTAAGCCAGGCTGAAGCAAAATTTAGAACACCTTGTCAGAAATAGGCGCTGGCATGCCTTTAATATTCATGGAGATTTAATTGGGCTGTTCTACTTTATTTTGTTATTTGTTTGTTGGATTTTTTTTTTTTCTGCATTTCAAGGACAAATTTTAAAATGGGACTGTATGTATTAAGCTATTCGTAAGTAGAACACCTAAAAAAAAGTGCGTTTCATTTAAAATTTTTTTTTTAAATAAAATGCGACTTTAAGTGTGTTTTAATAATTTTTTTTTTTAGTACATACATACATACATATGTATATATATATATTGAAAGCCCAAAGACTAATATATTAAATAAAAAGCTGGGTACAGATAGATTTTGTAGAAGGTCCCAAATATGACACCCAACCTACACAAAAACCACCAAATCAAATGGTTCAAAAAAAAAGGAGAAAATACAGCAAAAAACATAAGAGATTTAAATAAAAAACCAAAATGTTTCAAAATAAAAGTAGGTAGCTGGAGAGCGACCCGATTTTGCCTTGCCTCTGCCTCTAGTTCTAGGGAAGGAGCCAGCTAATAAATTAGTCAGATGAGTGTCATTGCCAGTAGTAACCAATGTATAATCCAATAGATTCCCTAGCTCGAGTCGTCCTCCGTTCTTTTTCTTCCTCCTCGTGTAGATCTACCATTCCTCATCCGAAGATTGACTCACCTGGTCATCAGATAGTCTGAAGTGTGCAAGATATGTGTAGGTTATTGAACATTAGAAGCAACTATTTATTGTACCAGCTGATCTTCTATCAAGTTGAAAGAGCACTCTCGTGTGTCTTGGCATATAAGTGGATATTCTTCAATAATAGTAAGTGGTATCAACACATTTGGATTTGTACAATTGCGATGTTGGAAAGAGGATCAGATTGGACTTTCTCAGCAATGGTGGTAGATGACTGATCTTTAGCGATATTCAACCTTAGATGACGATGCAAGCGATAGCAAATAGTATAACTATGACCAAACCTGCTACAATGAGAGTAATAAGGATGATGTGATTCTATTTCAACATTTTGCCAATACCCGGTGTGAATAGTGTCAATCCATATTTCATCCGGAGCTGGTTGAGTGATATCTCTCAACGAATACACAAACCACTGAGGGTCTGGTGACAGAAAGAGTAGGACTATCCACCTTGAGAGACTTACCGTAAGCAGTTGCTAAAGAGTAGAGGATTTCCATGTTGAACTGTAATTTTAACCTCAAAAACTTTATCCAATCTTGAATGATAAGGGATTCCGCTTTTGGATTAAAATCGACAGTCCACTTCAGAATTTTCACAAAACAATTATCGATCTTGATAGCTTTTCAAGAGAAAATGCGTGTAATCGACATCGTAGCTGAATAAGTATATGTCGACCGTCTAGTAGACCAATGTTTCAACTGCCAAATAGTTTCATAGCATCAAATTCTTTTCTAATGATCTCCAGTTTTGGGTGACCATAAAGGAATTTCCCAACTAAAGAAAAACGCCAAGAGGACGCTAAATTACTAGTTTCAATCTCAGTGAGAATAAGTGCAGACTTCCCATTTTTTTTCCAAGCTTTTTAATAAAAGTGTGTTCACCGCCATCTTCAAGAGCCTCGTGGTATGATTGTGGAACATTGCAGGACTTATCGATAGCAAAAGCAGACTTTGGAGGAGGGGTACGAGGAGGAATGGGCAAGTCGCCGGCAGGGCATTTGCATAGGAACGGAGCGTCGACGCCATCTCCCTCACAAGAGTCAGGAAAGAAATGGTCTGACGGGCCGCAAGGAAGTGAGGAAACTGTTGGTGCTGTCGGGCTCGGGTCGTCTGGAGCGAGATGACTGTAGCGCCTACGTCTAAGGGAACATACGCAAGATAGGGTCGTCTGGAGCGAGACGACTCTAGCGCCTTCGTCTACAGGCAAGACTGGCTACAGCTACGGGAACAGACGACGACGGAGGAGCAATTGTGTTTGAGTGTGTCAGTGGAAGATGAAAAAGAAGTCGCAGAAGCTTAGCGTCGAAACAGACGACGACGCTAAAAATGCGAGCTGATAGAGGAGATGCTCGGCGTCGAAACAGGCGAATAGACGAAACAAACACAGTTGAGAACCGATGAGATGCGAGCCCTTTTCCTTCGATTGCTTCTGAATCATACGCGATTGAATCATTGATGACCGAAATCGTCATTTGAAACCCTAGCAGTGACAATGGATATATATTAAAATTAAATTTGTAAATATATGTAAATTAAAAAAAAAAATGATTGAATTGTGTAGGTGTGAATGAAATTAAGTTACATATGGTTAGATTGGTTATACTTGAGAGTGTAAAAGAGTTGAGTCAATTTTGAGCCACCCTAAATTTGTGCTTAAATTTGATTAATTAATTAAGGCTGAGGTTAAGTTAGAGCTTATTTCTACGAGTTCGAGCTGACACAAAAGCCTACTAGGTCACGCTCTTTGAAATTTGAGGTGAAGTTCGAGCTTAATGTTGAAGAAAATGATAATTTCAATTTCAAAATTTGTACTTAGTTGTATTCACTGTCAAACATAATTTAATATTTTATTGTAAAATCAAGCTATTTTAATATATATTGATTTTGTTATGAAATCTAATAAATTTAAATAAGTAGCAGTGAATGCATTAAATTCAAAATAAGTTCAAAGTACATTAAAATAGGTTTGATTTTATAAGAAAAATTCAGATTTTATTTAACATTGAATACAACATAGTAGAAATTTTAAATTTGAAAAGATTTTCTTCTTCGATATTAAGCTTGAATTTTACCTCGAATTTCAAAGAGCATGACCTCGCAGGCTAACAAGCCTGCTCAAACTCGTAGAATTAAGCTCCAATGTCGTCTGCACATTGATTAATCAATCAATTTTAAGCTTAAGCTTGGGGTGGCTTGAAATTAACTCGGCTTGTTTATGCTCCTAAATCTAACCGATCTAACCATACGATATTTAATTTCATTTGTAACACAATTCAATCATAAATTTTTTTATTAACTCTTATTTAAAAAATTAATTTTGAAATTATATATGTCCACACATACACTTTATAATTATTATTACTTTTATGAATCGTTTTCAATTGTATTTTATTTATCAAATAATTTTTAAATGAAACACACTTCATAGGTGAATTTTAGTCCCCTTATTTATATGTCTTTTTTTCAATATGATTTTTCTTGTTTCAGCATTTGTGGTCTCATGTTGGTGGTTGCGTCTGTTATTTTGATCAGTAGATTCATTTAGTGAATTATTGACAGTTGCATGAGAAAGGGATGACACAGAATAAATAATCTTTGGAAATATTGGGCATTGACATGTTTATCTAACTATTTGGTTGCTTTTTTGTATGCTACATTCATTTTTATAGTGCCATGTGACATGTAAATTTTTCTATTTCAATGTTTGTGCATAACTTCTAGCCATATTATTTTTAATCTATTTTTTTTCTTAATCCTCACACAACTGGTGTAATATATATGATGCTGGTTGTGGCTTTCGGCAGGGCTGCCCCTCTTATTGTACTTGTTTATTCTTTTGTCTGAACTTCTCTCCAAGACTCTTTGACAACAACTTGTTGGGATCTCTCTTATCAAAGGTGGCATCAACATCTGTCATTTACTTTATGCGACATATTATTATTTGCAGATGCTTCTGTAAGTACAACAAAATGCCTACAAAAAACCCTCTCTAAGTTGACCGGTCAGAAGATTAATGGGGCAAAATCTTCTATCATTTTTGGCAGAAAAATCGTTAATTAGAAGATTAATGAGGCAATTCCATCATTTTTATCAGAAAAATTGTTATTTCGAAGGAGAATCGTATTGCTAGATTGCTGGGATTCAGGAAGGCGGAGGAATTCGACTACCTTGGAGTTAAGCTCATTATGAGAACTTTAAAGAAAAATGACTACAACAAGCTCATCAACAATGCTACCACAAAAATCCAAGCATGGGGAGACCACCACCTTTCAATTGCTAGGAGAATAACTCTGATTAAATCCTCTTTTAGTGGTGCCTATGTTTCTCATCACCCATATCGATGTTCCCTCATCGCTCTCCAAGGAAATGAAAGAATTGCAAGGACTTCTTGTGGAGCAACATTCCATCTCACAAGTCTCCATGATATTACCTAGGACCGATTATGAATCGAGACCAACATGGATGGCTTGACTTTCACTTGACTGAACTTTGACGCAGCTCTTTAAGGGCACTGTTGGCTTGGGTTTCCTTAACTGCGCCAATTTGTTCCCTTATAATTGCATTGTAGAGATTTGTGGGCTTGATGCCTCAATAACACCAACAACGACGACGACAACAAACTTTTTTCCCATTTAGTGGTGTCGGCTGCATGAATCTTTTTTCTCTATTGTGTCATATTGAGTGTCATGTTTTCATTTAATTCTAATAAATTAAAACCAATTTTTAGACAATATGCCCAAATCTTTCTAGGTCTACCTCAACCTTTCTTAACATAAGTCAACTCTAAAACATCTACTCCTCTAACCAGATCATCAGATGGTCGACATTTAATATGACCAAACCATCCAAGACAATTCTCTCAAATTTTTTCCGTCACTGGAGGTACACCAACTCTATCACATATATATTCATTTCGCATTTTGTTTCTAAGTGTAAAGCCACTTATCCACCTAAGCACTCTTATCTCGACAACACTTAACTTAGTTTTATGTTTTTATTTTACAAGCCAACATTATGAGCCATCGAGCATTGTAGGTCTCATCACCATTTTATAAAATTTTCCTTTCACTAAGTGACACTTTTCTATCACACAATACGCTCGATGCATTTCTCCACTTCAACAAACTAATTTGAATTTTACTAATATCATCCCCATTTATATCACCATCAATTTGAACGATAGACCCGAGATATCTAAAATGTTCACACCTTTAAATGATTTGATCACCCATAGTTACAACTATGTCTCTATAGCTACTACTATTAAAATTACATTCCATGTATTCAATTTTTGTTCTACTCAAACGAAGGCCTTTAGAATCCAATGTAGACCTCCATAGTTCAAGTTTTTTCTGTGCTCTTTCTCTGGTCTTATCCACAAGAAGGATATCATTAGCGAAAAACATACACCAAGCTAGATGCTTCTGTAATTGTCCATTAAGAGCGTCCATAACTAAAGCAAAAAAGAAATGTGCTTAAAGCCGACTCTTAATGTAATCCAACTGAAATAGGAAAATATTTGGTCAATATTCTTTTTGTACGAATCTCTAGGATACATATCTTTAATGACTTGAATATAAGTCATATCAACATCTTTCTTCTCTGGAACTCTTCAAAGGATATCTTAGAACCTTATCGTAAGCTTTTTCTAAATCAACAAACATCATATGTAGATCCTCCTTATTCTCCATGTATTTCTCTATCAAACCTCTCAATAAATTTATAGATTTCATAATAGACTTGCCTAACATAAATTCAAGCTAATTATGAGAAATCTTTGTAATTTTTTTTAACCTATGTTCAATTACCCGTTCCCAAAATTTTAAAGTATGATACTTCAACTTAATTCCTCTATAATTTGCACACTATTGTGCATTCCTTTTGTTCTTAAAGATGGGGACCAAAATACTCTCCCTCCACTCAGAATTTTTTTTAATTTTTAAAATAATATTAAAGAGTTTAGTAAGTCAAGTAATTCCTAAATCTTCTAAATTTTTCCACACTTTGATTGTGATATCATCAGATCCTGTAGACTTTTCATCGTTGGTCTTCTTTAAAACCCCTTAACTTATTTTTTATTAATGCGACGTTTAAAATGAAACATATTATTATTATCAATGATATTAAGACCCCTAAAGTCGATTGTATTTTTAAAAACTTCATTGAAAAGTTTATCAAATTACCTTACCCATTATGATAAATTTCTTTTTTCAAGAAAAAAATACTTTAATTTTCATCTTTAATGTACTTTACTTGAGTTAGATCTTACTTTTCTCTTTGTTTTGCTAATTTATACATTTATTTTTCACCCTTTTTAGTATATAATTTATTATAAAGATCTCTCAAAACATAGTTTTTAGCGTCATAGATTGTTCTCTTAGAGTCCATAAGGTCTATTTTATTTTTTTCGCAATTCTCTAAGCTTTTACATTTAATTCAATTTTATCACTACTGTTATAAAAAAAATTCTTAATTTTATTTTTTCTTGCACAATATTATTTCACCACAAACTATTTTTATTCCTAGAAATATTTTCTTTTGATTCTCCAAGTATATCTTTTGTCACTTGTTTAATAGTGTTTTTTATTTTATCCTAAAGAGAATTTGTTTCTTAATTAACATCTCAAATCTTGAAATTTTAAAGTTTACTGAAAAAATAGTTTTATGTCTTTTACACTTAGATGAGAATGATTAGGTGGATGAGTGACTTTACACTTAGAAACCAAATGCGAAATGAATATTTCCGTGATAGGGTTGGTGTAGCTTCTGTGACAGACAAAATTAGAGAAACCATTTAGGAGAGTAGATGTTTTAGATTCGACTTATGTTAAGAAAATCAGAGGCTAGACTTAGGAAGACTTGGGCTTATTGTATAAACAATGATCTTAATTTATTAGAACTAAATGAAAATATGACACTAAATAGGACATGACACTAAAT